GAGGAGCGGGGGGGGGGTCCTAGAGCCAGTGGGCTTCCATAGGGTCCCAGGGCTGCCTTCTGCCTGACGGTTCCGTCCCTGCCCCACGCCCACAGCCCGAGGAGCTGACCAACGTCCTGGAGATCTGCAACGTGGTCTTCACCAGCATGTTCGCCCTGGAGATGCTCCTGAAGCTGGCCGCCTTCGGGCTCTTCGATTACCTGCGCAACCCCTACAACATCTTCGACAGCATCATCGTCATCATCAGGTGCCCGCCTGCTCCTCCCCAGGCCGTGGGGCCGGAGGCACAGGAGGGAAGAGGGGGTTGGCCCCGCCTGTACATGAAGTGCCTACGATCAAAGGAACCCAATCACACTGCAGTGCAGTTGACAGAAATGTTCACAAATGTGTGATTTAGCCATATACGTGCTTCTGGGTTAAAGCATTGAATGGTGAGGCCTTAGCAGCGGGTCTGTGACTACCATCATCCCAGAGGAGGGAGGAGCAGAAACTGTGCTCGAAAATATCCGCATCAGCCGTCCTGTGATGTAAAAATAGCGATTTCCATGAACCACGAGGCCATGGCGCTGCTAATTCTCTGTATTTTGTTGTTTCCACTCATTCTCAAAAGAAAGTTAAATCTCAAAAAGAGCTCAGTGACCTTGTGGGCCCCTGAATTCTGTCCCTAGACATCTTGGGGGGGGGTCCATGGAGTCCAGGTTAACAGCCCCCAACTTAGGGTGCCTGGAGCAGCAATGACCTTGAAATACTGTTGGTTGGATGAATGAATGAATGAATGGAACTCTCCATCTCTTCTTTGCCCCGCTCTCCTCCTGCCTCTCTCCCCTCCCCACCCCTGCATGACGCCTCCTTGGGCAGCATCTGGGAGATCGTGGGGCAGGCGGACGGCGGGCTGTCGGTGCTGCGGACCTTCCGGCTGCTGCGGGTGCTGAAGCTGGTGCGCTTCATGCCCGCGCTGCGGCGCCAGCTGGTGGTGCTCATGAAGACCATGGACAACGTGGCCACCTTCTGCATGCTGCTCATGCTCTTCATCTTCATCTTCAGGTGAGCCCTGCCACCCCGGGGCCCCTGCCGGGGCTCAGGGAGGAGCATGGCTGGTTGAGTGCTCAGGCTACACCCTGGACCTGGGTGCGAATCCTGCCACCATCACTTAATCCCTGGTGGCTCTGGGTGTGTACTTGCCCTTTGGGTCTCAGTGTTCACTTCTGTAAAATGGGACCACCGTGGCTCCCTCCCATCTTGTGGGGTTGTTGAGGGAATGGCACAGGCGGATGGGCAAGAGCCTGGTGTGTGTGAGTCCCTTGAGCCACCTCCCTCCCCCCCAGCATTCTCGGGATGCACATCTTTGGCTGCAAATTCAGCCTCCGCACAGACACGGGAGATACAATCCCCGACAGGAAGAACTTCGACTCCCTGCTGTGGGCCATCGTCACGGTGTTCCAGGTGAGCACACGTCCGTATGTCGGGGGCCGCGGTTTCACCCAGGATCGCCAGCCTCGGGGAATCCAGAGACAAGGGGCCTGACAGGGAGGTCCCTCAACTCCGCCTTAGTGGGCCGGTTTGGGGGTGTGGCCAGGCAGGCTTAGGACAGGCTCTGGGAGCCGGGCTGCCCACCCAGTGCCCCTCCCTGCCCCCTCCGCTCGCACCCTGAGACTGTGGCCATGTTAGGAGTCTTCCCTAAGACTGTTCCTCCCCGGTAACGTGGACATGGTTGAATGAGTGTGTACACACAGCTCAGGGCAGAAGGAGCAGGGAGGGGGGGGGTGGCTTGTGCTGGGGGTGCAGGTGGGTCGCCTGAGCGGGATGAAGGATGGGGTCGAGGGAGCAGCTAGGAGGGATCACCGCTCAGTGGGGAGTGAATGTCGGGGCAGGAGTGTGCAGCACAGGCTTGCGGGTGTGGGCAAGCTGGGAGCACGGGGCGAGCAGTGTGTGTGTGGGAAGGGGGACAGGGGAGGGGGCAGGGAGAGTCCTGAGGCTCTGCCAGGTGGGCGCACCCCAGTGAGAGCCGTGGTACTCAGGGTCCCCGGGAGTGCCCGAGTGCCTGTGAGAGGAGGCTGCAGGAGGGCGTGGGCTGCCGTGTGCCTGTAGCTACCCCCAGAGGGCTCCCCTGCCCATGGGTGGGCCGGGGCTGTGCTCTGTGCTGAGCTGTGCTCCCCCCACCCCCCAGATCCTCACCCAGGAGGACTGGAACGTCGTCCTCTACAACGGCATGGCCTCCACCTCCTCCTGGGCCGCCCTCTACTTTGTGGCCCTGATGACCTTCGGCAACTACGTGCTCTTCAACCTGCTGGTGGCCATCCTGGTGGAGGGCTTCCAGGCGGAGGTGACTGGGACCCTGGTGGAGGCAGCACCCCCAGGGGGCCTGCAGGCGACTGGGTGAGGGGAGGGGGTCTGAACGAGGGAGGGCTGCCATTCAAACATCTAGCAGGCGAGTCTCCAGAAGAGGGGGTGTCGCCAATGAGGTAGTGAGCTCCCCGTCACAGGAAGCATGCAAACGGAGGCAGCATCGAGGTCCCTGCGTCTCCCCCGGGGGTAAGACTAGGCCTCTCCATCTCTGAGATGCTCAAGTCCCCAAGACCAGGGCTCTGGATCCCGCCTCCTCCATCTGAGGCTTTGGGGAACGTGTAGTCAGCAGACACGGGTTTGTGGGCTAGGTCCTCACTAGCTTCTCACTTCCTTTCCCTGAGCCCCAATTTCCGCATTTGTAAAACGGGGGTGGGGCAGGGGGACCCATGAAAAAGTTCACGACGGGGGGAAGGGTAGAGCTGACATGCGTTCCAATGCGAGGGTCGGTCTCCCAGGGGGACGCCAATCGCTCCTACTCGGATGAGGACCTGAGTTTATCGAACACGGAGGAGTTTGACAAGCTGCAGGAGGGCCTGGACAGCCTCGGAGGTACACCTGGGGGCCGGGGCCCTGCCCCAGAGATCCGGGTGGGCCAAGGGCACGGCCCGGTTCCCCCCAAACCCAGGCTCTGTGACTGCTCATTTCTGTGGTTTGTTGTTTACATTCATAATGGAGAGAAATGCTAAATCCCAACAAGTCCGTGGCCAGCCCTAGCCGGTTTGGCTCAGTGGATAGGGTGTCGGCCTACAGACTGAAAGGTCCTGGGTTCGATTCCAGACAAGGGCACGTGCCCGGGTTTCGGGCTCGATCCCCAGTGGGGGTCATGCAGGAGGCAGCCAATGAGTGATTCTCATCATTGATACTTCCAGCCGATCAATGATTCTCTTCCATCATTGATGTTTCTATCTCTCTCTCCCTCTCCCTTCCTCTCTGAAATCAATATAAATAAAAAAAGTCAGTGGCCTGTTGAGAAGAGCTTTGGGCCTCAGGATGCCTGGGTTTTGGTCCTGTTTGGCACCATTGGGCAGCTTGGCGCAAACCTCCCCGTCCACGCCATGTCCTCGGTAACCGGCTGGGCAGTCTCTGCCTTGCTTTCCACAGCGGGCATGGCAGGGAGGTTCTCATGCTGGTGAGGCTCAATGGTTGCCCTGAACACAGAAGGCAAGGGTGTCACTTACCCAAAAATAAGCTGAGAAAATTAAAATACAAACAAACAAACAAAAACCACCAAAAATGAGCTGAGAGCCGTGTAGGCGGGGCAGAGGGGAGGCACATGTGGTGGGGTTCAACCTGGAAGACTTCCTGGTGGAGGAGGTCTTCCCAGAAAAACTCTCTATTTCTGTTAATCGTCCATGTCTGTTTCTTTGTCTCATGGCTTCTTTTGCTCCTACAAACAAACAAACAAAAACCACCAAAAATGAGCTGAGAGCCGTGTAGGCGGGGCAGAGGGGAGGCACATGTGGTGGGGTTCAACCTGGAAGACTTCCTGGTAGAGGAGGTCTCCCCAGAAAAACTCTCTATTCCTGTTAATTGTCCATGTCTGTTTCTTTGTCTCACGGCTTCTTTTGCTCCTATTCTGGCTTCCTGTCTGCCCTTCCCTCTGTTTCCATCTCACCCCTCCAGATCCCAAGCTGTACCCAATTCCTCTGACTCCCAATGGGCACCTGGACCCCAGTCTCCCT